CGCAACAGTTTCCTATCTGCGAGTATTAGTATCAGCTCAAGTAAATGGCAGATATTGCACACATGCATATCAGTTGCGAGAGCTTGTTAAACAAAACTGAAGAAATGTTACACGCCTTTGGCACTAATCGCATGACGCAACAGTTTCCTATCTGCAGTATTAGTATCAGCTCAAGTTAATGGCAGATATTGCACAAATGCATATCCGTGCCGAGAGCTTTTAAAACAAAATTAATGAAATGTTACACGCCTTTGGCAATAACGACATGACGCAAGAAGTTTCCTATCTGCGAGTAAGTTTATCATCTCAAGTAAAGGCAGATAATGCACACATGCATATCAGTTGCGAGAGCTTGTTAAACAAAACTGATGAAATGTTACACGCCTTTGGCACTAATCGCATGACGCAACAGTTTCCTATCTGCGAGTATTAGTATCAGCTCAAGTTAATGGCAGATATTGCACAAATGCATATCCGTGCCGAGAGCTTTTAAAACAAAATTAATGAAATGTTACACGCCTTTGGCACTAATCGCATGACGCAACAGTTTCATAACTGCGAGTATTAGTATCAGCTCAAGTTAATGGCAGATATTGCACAAATGCATATCCGTGGCGAGAGCTTATAAAACAAAACTAATGAAATGTTACACGCCTTTGGCACTAATCGCATGACGCACCAGTTTCCTATCTGCGAGTAATTATATCAGCTCAAATAGAGGCAGATAATGCACATATGCAGATCCGTGGCGAGAGCTTACGAAACAAAACTAATGAAATGTTACACGCCTTTGGCACTATTCGCATGACGCAACAGTTTCCTATCTGCGAGTATTAGTATCAGCTCAAGTTAATGGCAGATATTGCAGAAATGCATATCCGTGCCAAGAGCTTTTAAAACAAATCTAATGAAACGTTACACGCCTTTGGCACTAATCGCATGACGCAACAGTTTCATAACTGCGAGTATTAGTATCAGCTCAAGTTAATGGCAGATATTGCACAAATGCATATCCGTGGCGAGAGCTTATAAAACAAAACTAATGAAATGTTACACGCCTTTGGCACTAATCGCATGACGCACCAGTTTCCTATCTGCGAGTAGTAGTATCAGCTCAAGTAAAGGCAGATAATGCACACATGCATATCAGTTGGGAGAGCTTCTGAAACAAAACTAATGAAATGTAACACACCTTTGGCAATAACGACATGACGCAAGAAGTTTCCTATCTGCGAGTAAGTTTATCATCTCAAGTGAAGGCAGATAATGCACACATGCATATCAGTTGCGAGAGCTTGTTAAACAAAACTGATGAAATGTTACACGCCTTTGGCACAAATCGCATGACGCAACAGTTTCCTATCTGCGAGTATTAGTATCAGCTCAAGTAAATGGCAGATATTGCACACATGCATATCAGTTGCGAGAGCTTGTAAAACAAAACTAATGAAATGTAACACGCCTTTGGCACTAATCGCATGACGCAACAGTTTCCTATCTGCGAGTATTAGTATCAGCTCAAGTAAATGGCAGATATTGCACACATGCATATCAGTTGCGAGAGCTTGTAAGACAAAAACTAATGAAATGTAACACGCCTTTGGCACTAATCGCATGACGCAAGAAGTTTCCTATCTGCGAGTCATTTTATCAGCTCAAGTAAAGGCAGATAATGCACACATGCATATCAGTTGGGAGAGCTTCTGAAACAAAACTAATGAAATGTAACACGCCTTTGGCAATAACGACATGACGCAACAAGTTTCCTATCTGCGAGTAACGTTGGGAGTAAATTGGGAGTGAACTGTGCGTTCCATCATCGCAATGGTTTAAACGCAAAAAGGTATTCTGCGGCTAATTCATATTCGCTAATCAGTTCTTTTTTTTGCTTAGCAATCCAAAGCTATGACCAAGAGCTAAAAGATGGGAAAATGATATCCGATGAACGCTCTTTTTAATTGCAACTTCAAGCTTTGTTTTCTCAATTAACTTCGAACTGCTACCGGCATTAAAACAGCTTTGAAGCAAAATAAACTGCTCATTTTTGTGAGAACAAAAAATGTTAAATTCTTTTCTCCAACACGAAAAATTTAATATCAGCTCAAGTAACGGCAGACACTGCAAACATGCATATCTTGACGAGAACTTGTAAAACAAAAATAATGAAATGTAACACGCCTTTGGGACTTATCGCATCACGCAACATTTTTCCTATCTGCGAGTATTTTTATCTGCAAGTTAAGGGCAGATATTGCACATATACATATCCGTGGCGAAAGCTTAAAAAACAAAACTGAAGGAATGTAACACGCCTTTGGCACGAATCGCATGTTGCAACAAGTTTCCTTTCTGCGCGTATTAAAATCAGCTCAAGTTATGGCAGATAATGCACACATGCATATCTATGGCGAGAGCTTGTATAACAAAATTAAAGAAAAGTAACACGCCTTTGGCACTATTTGCATGACGCAAGAAGTTTCCTATCTACGAGTATTTTTATCAGCTCAAGTAGAGGCAGATATTGCACATATGCATATCCCTAGCGAGAGCTTATAAAACAAAAATAAAGAAAAGTGACATGCCTTCGGCACTAATCGCACGACGCAACTATTTCCTATCTGCGAATATTAGTATCGGCCCAGGGGAAAGGCAGTTATTGCACAAAAATATCCGTCGGGAGAGCTTATAAAACAAAATTAATGAAAGGTAACACGCCTTTGGCACAAATCGCATGACGCAACAAGTTTTCTATCTGCGAGTAATTTCATCTGCTCAAGTAGAAGCAGATAAGGCACATATGCATATCTGTGGCGAGAGCTTATAAAACAAAAATAATGAAATGTAACATGCCTTTGGCACTAATCGCATGACGCAAGAATTTTCCTATCTGCGAGTAATTTTATCAGCTCAAGTAGAGGCAGATAATGCACATATGCATATCCGTGGCGAGAACTTATAAAACAAACTAATGAAAAGTTACATGCCTTTGGCACTAATCGCATGACGCAACAGTTTCCTATCTGCGAGTATTAGCATCAGCTCAAATTAATGGCAGATAATGCACACATGCATATCTGTGGCAAGAGCTTATAAAACAAAAATAATGAAATGTAACATGCCTTTGGCACTAATCGCATGACGCAAGAATTTTCCTATCTGCGAGTAATTTTATCAGCTCAAGTAGAGGCAGATAATTCACAAATGCATATCCATGACGAGAGCTTAAAAAACAAAACTAACGAAAGGTAACACGCCTTTGGCACAAATCGCATGACGCAACAAGTTTCCTATCTGCGAGTAATTTCATCTGCTCAAGTAGACGCAGATAAGGCCCATGCATATCTGTGACGAGAGCTTATAAAACAAAACTAAAGAAATGTAACACGCCTTTGGCACTAATCGCAAGAAGCGACAAGTTTCCTATTTGCGCGTTTTAATATCAGCTCAAGTAACGGCAGATACTGAAAACATGCATATCTTGACGAGAACTTGTAAAACAAAAATAATGAAATGTAACACGCCTTTGGGACTTATCGCATCACGCAACATTTTTCCTATCTGCGAGTATTTTTATCTGCAAGTTAAGGGCAGATATTGCACATATACATATCCGTGGCGAAAGCTTATAAAACAAAATTGAAGGAATGTAACACGCCTTTGGCACAAATCGCATGACGCAACAAGTTTTCTATCTGCGAGTAATTTCATCTGCTCAAGTAGAAGCAGATAAGGCACATATGCATATCTGTGGCGAGAGCTTATAAAACAAAATTAATGAAAGGTAACACGCCTTTGGCACAAATCGCATGACGCAACAAGTTTTCTATCTGCGAGTAATTTCATCTGCTCAAGTAGAAGCAGATAAGGCACATATGCATATCTGTGGCGAGAGCTTATAAAACAAAATTAATGAAATCTAACATGCCTTTGGCACTAATCGCAAGAAGCGACAAGTTTCCTATTTGCGCGTTTTAATATCAGCTCAAGTAACGGCAGATACTGCAAACATGCATATCTTGACGAGAACTTGTAAAACAAAAATAATGAAATGTAACACGCCTTTGGGACTTATCGCATCACGCAACATTTTTCCTATCTGCGAGTATTTTTATCTGCAAGTTAAGGGCAGATATTGCACATATACATATCCGTGGCGAAAGCTTATAAAACAAAATTGAAGGAATGTAACACGCCTTTGGCACTAATCGCATGACGCAACAGTTTCCTATCTGCGAGTATTAGCATCAGCTCAAATTAATGCCAGATAATGCACACATGCATATCAGTGGCGAGAGCTTGTAAAACAAAATTAATGAAAGGTATCACGTTTTTGACACTAATCGCATGACGCAACAAGTTTCCTATCTACGAGTAATTTCATCTGCTCAAGTAGAGGCAGATAATTCACAAATGCATATCCATGACGAGAGCTTAAAAAACAAAACTAATGAAAGGTAACACGCCTTTGGCACAAATCGCATGACGCAACAAGTTTTCTATCTGCGAGTATTTTCATCTGCTCAAGTAGAGGCAGATAAGGCCCATGCATATCTGTGACGAGAGCTTATAAAACAAAACTAAAGAAATTTAACACGCCTTTGGCACTAATCATGGAGCTTTTAGTTTTCTCAAAAGCTGCAGAGCAACAGGAACCTAGGGTTCATTTTGACAAAAAAATTTTTTTAAAAAGTGTCATAAATAAAAGCCCCTGAAAAAACCCTGATTGGTTGAAAAACATTATCACCATATTACGGAGCTAAGAAATATCTACTCTTTAGCTGAAGCACAGAATTGCAATTTACATTGCGGAAAACAGAATCTTTTGAACGAACCGAGAAAAAGACTGGGATAAATGAGAATTTACTCCTAACAACATAGCAATAACCCCAAGATAATAGCAACATTATCATACCCTTTCTTAAACGCCATAAACACGTTTCCTTTTAGCGGGTAATATTATCTGGGTAATATATCTAGGAAAAAATTATATTTGGACCTACCCATTAGTGCTGTGAACGTAAATCCAATTGCGAACATACTCTTCATTTTAACAGTGGATAATTCTCGATTCTGCATTTTCAACTTCTCTTCTTCCCTTTCTAGTTTCTTCTTGTTCCTGCCTGAAATTGCAAAATTATGCAACCATCAAGGTGTCAGGGTTATGTCACCATCAATCAGAAACACATACAACAATCACGCTTTTGAAAACTTTGGCTGCTCTGATTAGACATGAAAAAACTTCAAAAAAAAATCGGAATTAACTTTACCAAATCTAAATTTTGATTTTATTGATCAAAAACGAGTTAGAAATTACAATGAAATTGGGAAAATTGAAAAAAAAAGAATTTTGTCTTGAAACAAATTCATTGTCAAAAATCTTTCGTTGGTCTTCTTAGTTATGCGCATTACATAAAGGAAAGAAAAGGCAGAGGTAATATTTTCTTCTACTCAAGAATCATTAGGGTTGAAAGCTTTTGGTTTAAGGCTTTCGGCTTCATACTGGTGCTTTCATTACCACGTCTAAACTAAATTGCGTGAATTTCAGACTTAAGGCTACTTAACATACCGACAGTAGCTGTGATGTAACCATGTAAACTGCATGATAAGTTGTGAGTACTTGTTCTCGCAAGTGTAAAACAGGAGATAAAACTTAGAAAACTTATACGATTTCCAAAAAAAGGAACACGGCGAACAGACAGTTGGAAACGTGTCAAAGAAGGAAACCAAAAAAAATGGACTTGAAAATTCGAGGAAAAAAACGTATCGGAAAAAATTCAACTCCCATTTTTGGTATCAACAGTACAATTTTCCCCAAATCGAATTAAGGGGATAAAATAACGTTTTTTTTTCAGACATTGACTTCGAGGGCAAAATAAAATAACCTCATTAGTCAAAAAATCAATTGCTACCAAATTATGATTAATATTTTACGCTATTAACAGAATAAAAAAGCTATTCGGTATTTGAAAACTTTCGCTAGTATATTCAGCGTGCTTGTTTGAAATGAAAATTCTATGCTGATTTATTTTTTAAAACTAATACATGCTTAGTGAGGACATTCTACGGTAGCTCACTTAGGGGGGAAAGTGTACGGTTGATCACATTTTTGACACAGGCGAAGCTGAGCTTCGCACTGCTTGCGATACAAATATGAACGTTATGAAAATCAAACGGAAAAATTGCTTCACAAAAACTCAAAATATCCGGAACAAAATTGCCTGCACCATAATAAAGTCTACAAAGAGCTTTGGGAATGCTATAGAGAAGCCAAGTTTACAATACAATCTTTTCTGCGGAACTTAGCAGACAAAAATAAGCAGACAGACAATAATCTAAATTAGCCAAAATTTTCCATTTGCAAGAAAAACAATTCTTAATTGGAATCGAACTACCGTGCTTTGTCGTCTCAAGAATGGGGGCTACAGCAACTTGGAATAAAGCTGCACCATCGAGCTACGAAAAATAAGCCGACAAAAATAAACAGACGGACGTTAATCCGAAAACGACAAAAACTAGTTTGATAAAAAAAAAGGTCCGACCGGATTCAAACCGCAAACCTTTGCCATCTCAAAAAGTTGCTTTACCTCTAAGCCAGATACGCCGGATGGTTGATTGGATTGGAATTTATAATTACCAAGCTGTAGCCAAGCTGTAAAAATTGTTCAGAAACCCTTCATGCCGAAAAGAAATTGTCTACACTTATTTAAAAAAATATCAAGTCCCTTTTCCCGTCGGAGCACACACAAGCGCACAAAATCTTTTTCGGACGTAGTGACGCAATTAGAGGTCACTATAAGTCGATATTAGACCGAAATTTATTAAGCCAATTAAAAGACGAAAAAAAAAGAAAAAAGTGAAATTTTAACAAATTACAACCAATGTCATCATCATCATCATCAACGTTTTGTGTCTTTTTCCCGTGCTACACGGGGTTAGACAACAATGCCTTCCACAAATCCCTGTCCATGGCTTCCTCCTTTTTCAGTCCCAGCAAGGATAGGTCTTCCTCTATTGTTTTGTCCCATGTCTTCTTCGGCCTACCCTTTGATCTGGGTCCGGGGACACAAACGTTTGTTAGCGCATTTGCAAGGAGCACGCTCCTCTGAGTGTGCCCGAACCACCGAAGACGGGACCTCCTCAAATAAATGTCTAGATGGTCAATACCGCAACGCTCATAAATAGAACGAGAAGTGATCATATGTAGGTCAGTACCAATTACCCATCGCAGTACTTTAAGTTCCGTTGATCTCAATATTTTAAAATTTGAGTCTGTCATTGACCAAGTTTCAGCTCCATATAACAACACTGGACGCAGACAGCTCTTGTAGATCAAAACCCGCGGAACAAGTGGAAGATTCTTATCCAATAAGAGTCTGGATAGTTCTCTAAACTTCAACCAGAAGGAATTTATGCGGGCTCGCACAGCAGTTTCCACCTTCCCATCCGGATGAAGCATGTCCCCCAGATATTTGAACTGACCCACCTTTTCAATTTCACCATCTGCAAGTGTGATTTTACTATCTGTTGCCTTGGATTTGGGATTCTGGCAAACTTTGCAAACAAAGGTTTCAGAGAGGCGTTGGCTTGCCCGCAAGCCACTGCACCTTCTGTGTACCCATAGCCTGCATGAAGTACACATCATAGAATTACTACCGACCCCTTTGCTGCAAACCCCACAAGGGTAATCACCCGACTTTATGGTCTTTCCCTCTTCCCCGGTAACCATTAACTTCGTTTTGTCCATGTTAACTTTCATGCCATTTGATTCAAAAATTGTTCTCCACTTTGCAAACTTTTGCAACACGCCCTCGAAGGTCTCACTTGTCAGCACCAAGTCGTCTGCAAACAGAATTTCCCATGGAATTCCGTCACCACATTCCTTGGTGAGTTCTTCAATTATCAGAATGAAGAGCAGTGGACTCAAGACAGAGCCCTGGTGCACACCAGTGTTGACCTGGAATTGGTTTGACCTTTGATTTCCTCGCCTCATACAGGAGACCGAGTTTCTGTATAACGACATGACCGTTTTGACTAGATTCTCAGGGACGAATTGTCTCCTAAGAGACCACTCGATCAAATATCTTGGTACTTTATCGAAGGCTTTTTCTAAGTCTACAAAGACATGATAAAGCTTTTGCTTCTTTGCTAAGAACTTTTCCTGCAACCTACGGAGCAGATGAATAGCATCGGTTGCGCTTCGGTTAGGCATAAAGCCTCTTTGTCTGTCATTTATCGATACAATGCCGCGAAGGCGTGATTCGATGACACGCTCAAAAACCTTCATAGGGTGCTCTAATAGGCGAATCCCCCTGTACGATCCACATAGCAAGGGGTCCCCTTTTCCTTTGTAGATGGTCACGGTATCACTCGTACACCACTCATCCGGGATTTTCCCCGAGTCAATGACACTTTGTAGAACGCTTGTCAAGACAGAGAAATTGGATGCGTCCAAGGCTTTCAGCATTTCAGCCGTTATGGACGATGGTCCGGGTGTTTTACCGTCAGATGAATGCATAACTGCCTTGCCAACTTCAGTTTCGGTAATTTCCCTGATAGGCCCATGGATGGGAAGAGAGTCCATCATAGAACCGATGGCTGGTTTGGAAGAGAGCGAGTCAAAATACTCGCGCCATCTTTCGAGGACATCAGTCCCGTCAGTGAGGAGTATGCCACTTTCGTTCTTAATGAATTTACCTCCCCGAACATCATGACTTTCGGTAGCTGTGCATCTAGCCAGTCGGAACATTTTCTCACGACCTTTTTTGCTATTTAAGTCTGCACACCACCTTTGACATGCGTTAGCTTTAGCTCTAGAAACTTCTCGTTTGGCCTTCTTTTTCAACTCGGCGTATACGAGTTTGTTTGCAGTTGTGTCACTGGCCTTGAACTTTTTATAGGCTTCCCGCTTTGCTTTCAGTGTCTCCCTCATAGCTTCGTCCCACCACCAATTGTCATGATTGAATTGTTTCTTGTTGCTTTTCACTCCACAAACTGTCCTAGCTGAATCTACAATTGCGTGTTGTAATTCTTTCCAGGAAATATTTGGTGACAATTTTTCACTCAACTTCTCATTTAACTGGCTTTGATGCACTGCATCCTTCAATTTATGCGATTTAATCGTGGTTATCTGGCCTTTCGCTTTCTTTGTCTTAGAACATCTAACTTTGAAATATGCACAGCATAGTTTATGTTGCGGTGCTATACATTCTCCTGGGAAAGTCGTGAAATTCGTGATATTACGCCGAACATTTCGATTGCATAGGAACAGATCCAGCTGACTGCGTCTATCGCCACTGGCATAGGTCCAATGCTGTTGTTCCCTTTTCCTGAAGAATGTATTTGCTATCTGAAGATTATGGGCAAGGCATAGATCCAGGACTCTGATACCCTCAGGGTTTCTTCCTCCCACTCCATACCTGCCAAGAACTGATTCGTAGTTTATTTGGTCCGAACCACAGTGTCCGTTCATGTCGCCAGCAATGACCACCTCTTCTTTATTTGGCAATTTAAATAGAAAGTCGCAAAGCGCCATATAAAACAAATCTTTCTCTATATCAAGGCGGCCCTGCTGGGGAGCATAAACAGAAACAAAGTTGTAAATTTTGCTTTCAATTATCACCTTAGCACATATAATGCGGTCAGATAATCTCTCCACGGATAGAATATTCTCCGTTAACCTGTCTTTCACAAGTATTCCGACGCCGTTTGTACCTTCATTGTTTCCCTTCCATAGAAGTTTATACCTTTCCGACCCTTCACCAAAGTAACGTGTGCCTTCATTTCTATAGCGGACCTCCTGCAGACAACAGATGTCTACTTTCCTCCTGGATAACAACTGACACAGCTCAATAGACTTGCTTTTGAGCGTGCCAATGTTTAGCGTACCTAAAACGAAAGAAGTAAAGACCGTGAGATTTTTAGCACCCTCTCCCCATTTAAGGGGGGCACGGGACTGAGGGCCAGAGCTTGTTGTGTATGACATTGTAAAGGATTTGGAGCGAAGTTTGATGGCCGGATGCCCTTCCTGTCGCCAACCTGCAGTGAACGTTACTCGTTCGGGTGCCGCATATGCCGCATGACAGTCAGCCGTTTGCGAGGATTTGAAGTCCTCTACGCCTCAAAGTCTACCACACCGCTGAGGGTCCAGCGTGGGGGAAATGTTAAGCTACATTACTATATGCAGCACGCCATTTCGCCATTTGCGTTTCCTCATCCCGCCTAGGCCATGGTTAATGACCAAAAACCCAGGGCAGCCTGAACTGTAAAAGATGTACAGGCCGCCCCCATAGCTATGCAGGGCAGGGACGCCACTCCCTGAGGAGCCGCAACACAGCTCCCGCAACAACCAATGTGAAAAGCAAAATTCAATTCGGCCGGATTTTCCAATTTTAAATTACAACCAATGTGAAAAGCAAAATTCAATTCGGCCGGATTTTCCAATTTTAAAAAGAACTGCAGTTAAATTTATTTACAGCTAAAATAAACGATTCTTAGATAGGGCAACTAAGCCGACAAAACATAAGCAGACAAATAATGCTCTGATTTATTTTGAAAAGGAACTATTACCGTTTTAAAAAAAATGGTCCTGGGCAGTTTCAAACCATGGGCGTATTCTTGGTCCTGGGCGTATTCTTTACCACCAGGCTAAGTGTGCAATGGACACTACAAACTTTGAATTCATTATGAACCAAGGTACCACCAGTTCAATGAGTCCTGTGGACAAAATTGTTCACGGGAAAAAAGTCTACTACCCAATTGCAATACCCTTGCTATCGCAATATAAATAGGAGTCATTCATGTTATTTCGTGCCATTTGAAATTTTGTTATTTGAGAGCGTATTAAGCCTTGCTTATATCAAATGAATTTGATTTTGCTCACAAAGAAATCAAAGTCATTTGACCGAAAACAACATCAACGACTTTTTTCTGAGAAACCGAAAAAGAATCAACATGACTTTTATAGGTATCATCACCACATTCATCGACACATTTAGACATGCGCATAGGTACGCCCCCACACAACTAGTCAATGGGAGGAAGGGATAGTTAACACAGAGGCCAAGCGGAGCTTCGCAACACTTGCAATGCAAAAAAAACACATTTTGCTAGAAAAATCGTGAATGAGAAAGACAGAAATCAAATTTAAAAATCTAAAAAAGTATGTTGGAAAAAATTATTCGCAAAATGCAAAGAATTATTTGAAAAAATTCTTGACTTAAGCTGAAAAATTACAGCTACAAAAACTTTCTATCAGATGAAGTTCATTAACAACCCTTGAAAACTGGAAATCATCTACCGAGAGGCAACACAATGCGACAAACTTTGGATCGAAACCTGTTGAGTCGAAAAGAAAACTGTTGTCATAAAGTTTTCAAATATAAGTTTTACGACCCATCCAAACTGAAACACACAATCCCAAACGGATATATTTTGCCCTCGAAATTAAGCAAAATAAGTTGACTAAGTCGATATAACATAAACTGAAGCTGTTTGAATATTAAGAAAACAAGGGGAAAAATGAAAAAAAAAATCGAAATCAGACATGATAAATTTACAAAAATTTGTGAAGTTTCAGTTACGGTAAAAACTGTTCAAAATGGTTTAAAGAGTTAACTGATGAAAATCCTACCAGAAAAAAAACTGGGTTATAAAAAACGGAAAATGAACCGACAGAAACTAGGACGAAAACTAAGAACCCGAAAAAATGAGATTTTTTTGATAAGATAATTACGCTCTGAAACCGGCTTTAACTAGCTAATTTGATAGTACTTTTAATTGAACTTTAGAGCAATTAAGCATGTCAGATGAAAGATCCTCTAGACGAAGATCCACTAGAAGTGAAGATCCTGTGGACAAAGTTGTTTACGGGAAAAAAAGTATAGTACCCGATTGCAATACCCTTGCTCATCACAAGGGTAAAGAGATCTGAAGAGTTTTTACCTCCTCCAGCCCCGCCCACTACATTCAGTTGTGCAGCAGAGGGAGTTGAACTGCCTCCGGCTAGAAAAGATGAAGAGGTTGCTCCGAGGTCACCATCTTTAGCGCGCTCAACCTTTTTACTCTGTCGCTCAACCTAAAGCAAAAAATCTGAGAATTATTATTAGTACAAAAACGTTCGATTAGATAAAATTAATTTAAAAAGAGCAACTGATCGAAAACTCTCAGTAGTCATTGAAAATCTTCGTCTACGATCCTTAGTGTTTCTATTTCAATTTTTGAAAACAGCGCGAAGCTGCAATTTACAATACAAGCAAAAAGAACTGCAGCGAGCACTAACGAGACGAAAACAGAGAAATGAATGAAAGTCACCAATATACAAAAAAAAACAGAAATTTTAATAAAATGACAAAAAAAGCAACGTTTGAAAATAATAAACACCTCGTAGACAACGGGATTCAATTCAAATTTGCCGCTCATAAGCTACTTATCTAAACCACTTGAGCAGAAACCCTTTAAGCTTTAAGCCAAAAAAATCGAAAAAAAAATTCTGAAAAAATTCAAAACTAGAAAAATTTAAAGCTCATACCCCTCAAAACGCACACTCATGCGCACAAAAAAGTTTTTCTTCTACGAAAGTTTTTCGGAACCTATAAATTCGAGAAAAAGAAAAGAAAATAAAAAATGAAGTTTTAACAAGCAAATTGGTAAAATTACAACCAACATAAAAAACAAATTTCGAATAGGCCGTATACTTCAAATGCTAACTTTCACGCATAACTGGTTCTTAGAAATCAGGCAGCAAAGAATGAGCTTCAATGCGATTTATCTAGGTTCTTGAATTAAACGTCACAATCTTGAACTTCAAGAAAAACGCACACAAAATTAAATGTTAAAGCTATAACTACAGAACTGTTGTTGCGTCAAATATGTATTCAATCAAGGATAGCCGCTTAGAGCGCAGCAAAAAATGTTTCGCCCTTCGACTACGGTAATCTTAGCAAAGAAAGTCAAAGTTACTAAAACATGGCCAACAAACAGTTGGAAAAGAGTCAATGAACGCAAGGAAACAGAAAAAAAACTGACCTATTTTTGAAACAATCACCTTAGGCATTTCGAAGCAAAAAATATAAGGCCTCAATGCTCTTTGAATTTCAAGACAAATTTATAGTGGGCACTTTTTTGATAAAATAAACTCGATTTGAGAAAACTGGATCAATAGAAATATTTTTTAATATGTTGGGAAATCTTGAAAAAAAAACTTTCGAAACAAGAAATCGCGATAATTCTAAGTTCGTTTAGGGAAAGCGCAGTTTGACTGCCTTTTAGCAAATCAACTTGAATTGAACTCAAAACTTGCATATATAGCTGAGGGTATTCATTAACTCATTACTATGTATGAATTCACATCTGTAGTTATTGGAGCATTTTACGATTTTCCCGGAAAAATTCCAGAAAAAAAGTAATTCTAGAAATCCGCCTCAGAAAAAACCACTTCCATCCCAAAAAATGAACATTGCCAAAAGACAATTGGAAAAGAGTCAACGAACGCAAAAAAAAACGTACTTACGTTTTGAAAACTTTTCAACTTTCGAAATTCAAAGAAGAAAGTATATGGCATTAAAGCTCTGAATTTTCAAAAGAATTTAAGATTTTATTGCGCTGGGAAATCTAAAAACTAAAACCCATTTCCGAGAAACTACTTTCGCTCTTTATCGTGACATGTACATTTCTGCAGTTCGATAGTGAAGTTTACTTCCTTTAAACAAAGGAAATAAAATGATTTTAAAAATAAATTGAAGGTCAAACTGCAAAACATTTATTTGAGCGTGATCAAATTTAAGACTTTTACCTGAAAAAATACAACCTATATAAAAGTCATATATCGTTCATCGACTCTTAAATACCTCGTAGACAAAGGGATTCGGACTCAGACCTGCCGCTTAGGAACTACTTGTCTTAACCACATGGTTCTACTATTTTCAATCGTACTTTGTTTCAGATAAAAGGCAGCAAATAATGATGAGAGCGAAAAAACTCATTTTTAACGTTCCTTAAAATTAAGATCGCAAGCTCATTTAGACAAGAAAAATGTTTAATCCTTGATGAAAAACTTCTTTTATGGTAAAAGTCCATCAATATAACAAACCTACCTCAGCTTTCAGCTTCTTGTAATGTTGCGTCCTGTATACCAACAGATAAGTCAGCCCTTCACTCAACAAAGCCGTACACACAGATATGAACAAAATCAGAATTGTGTCTATAGGTGAGACTGTTCCAATCATCAGCATGTGTTCATGCATTGGGCTATCCAAGTCTTCTTTTTCCATTATTGATTTGCAGTCAGTCCTTTGAGCTTTTCACAATTTGTCTTCGTAGGCAAAATTTTTTAATACGATGTTCAGATTTTGCTGAAATTTATCTGAGAAGTTGCTGAGATTGGTCAGTTTTATGTTAGTTCATTCCCCGTTTTGAGATTTTGTTTTGGTAAGACCAAGCCAATGTCGGATTCTTTTCAAGTAGCTCCCTCGCGAGTTTCGAAACTTTTTGTTTTCGTGATGGTGTAATTGCAAACCGAATCTGAAACTCATACTCAATAATCAGTAGGGATCCAAAAAAACTAGACATCATAAAAGATGAAAAGAAAATCTGTTAGGCACGTAAGATTCCTGTTACAATCTGCCTCACGCTAGTATAATAGTTAACTCGAATAGTTTCTATTACTGAATCTTTTTCAAACTCTTTGATTTGGAATTCAAACATGGGCGGATTTATGGGGGACGCCCTTTTCTCTCCCCCTTTGTACTATTTTGAAATATCAATTTTTGGTGACAAACCCTAAAAATTTTCTAAAGGCGCCTTTGGCGCCAATATATACTAATTTTGAGGGGGGAGTGCGCGCCGAAAAAACGCGATTTTTTATCATAATTTTCCAAAAAGTGCCCAAAAACGCCTTTTTTTTGGCCTGTTTTTCCAAAATTTTGCCTAAGGCGCAGAAGATTTGGACAACACAGGAACTTTTTAGTGCTTTGGGAGAGCTCGAAAAATCATTTGGTCGACCTAAAAAAAGGTCGACAAAAATTTTGGGAAAATCCACCCCCGCTCGAGAAAATCCTAGATTCGCCCCTGATTTCTAACATCACTCAGCTTGTATATTTGGTTGAAAAACAATTTTGTGATTTGAAACTCATAATTTTAAATTCAGTATATACAAATAAATTTAAAATACGCTACATTTGAGCTAGAATTAAGAACATTCCAAAATATAATCAAACGTTAATCAATTCTGGTGCTGACTCAATGAGAAGCCAAGCTACACCGCAAAGATCGAGTTAACAAACAATATACCCACCCCTCTAAACCAATCGCAATCAAAAATAACATTTGTCCCCAATACAACTCGTAAAATAAGTCATCTTAAAGTTCTAGAATATTCTTTTCAGCCTTTTAAAAAACATGAAACGTATTAGTCGATGATTGAACAATACTACTATATTCGTAAGTTTTTGATAACAATAATAACTATTCTTAAAACAGATAATTGGATCTTAAAAATGATAATTGGATTTTGAAGAGTTTAAGTGCGTAGCGGGTAGAGGTTTATTAACTTGATCTGACAACATATATACAAGTGATAAGACCAAATAGGTACACGACTGACGACGAAGATGGCTCGTTTTCCCCACCTGCATTTTTTTACCATGTCTTGGTAGCTGATTAATTACGCAAGCCCAGGCATCTTCAGTTTTCATACGTAACCTTTTTAAAACTAATCGTTACAAAATAAAACTTGATACATATCTTAAGTTGGGTGGAAAGGAAAACGGGTCATCTAAGTTTCCATATCAAACATATCATATCATGAACACTACACTTACACCATTGCAGAGTTTGTGAGTTAGAATGATCTAAAACCAGAACCCATTCAGCAAGTATAAACGCGGGTCGAAATCTTCCATCAATAAAGTACGCTATTAGAAGCTAACTGGGCTCAACAACGACTTTTTTTCGGTTGAACCAAGGAAGTTTTGCAAATCATTTATATTATAGATCTTCGACCCGATTTGAACAGAAAACTGACAAGGATTCAATTGAAAATACAATTAATCAGAATATTTCAAAACAAGCGTATATCAGCTTCATGGTCAATTTTCCAAATGTATTCACAACAGAGAAATAAACACTTCGGTATTGCATTTAACAAAAGCTCAGCTGAAAACTGAAAAACATTATTTTGATTGATATATTATACAAATTTACAATTGAAAGAATTTTTCCGGGTTTTCCAACAAATTGGCAAAATAAACAAAAAAGAAACCTTAGCAATTTTTATGAAAATCATAAAACTACAGCACTAATTAATTGCCATGAAAATAGTTGCTATCAGCATCATCTTACAAACAGTTCTCAATCTTGCTCAGAAAATCGAATAAACCCGAAAAAAAAAACTAAATCGTTTTCCCAGTGAGCTGCCATAGTTTCATTCAGAAAAAGATTTCTCATTTTACAATCCTTCGTTTTAATTTTTTCTCACTTTTTGTCTGATTTCAAAATAAAAAAATAAATGGCAGCGACAAAGAAAAACGATCCAAACTAAAAAGAAATAAGATCGGACAAACCGATTTAAAATAAAACCAAGTGAAATTTGCCAAGATATCTATCACATTTTCTGATTCAGAGACGACCTAGTAGTGAGATGAGCACTAGATATGAATATGATTTGAATAAATATGCACCATTGATTAATTGGTATGAGGATCGAGCCCAATATAGCCATCAGCAAACTTTTTTATCCGACTCACAAGCTTTTCCGTCAATTTTAGAAATTTGACTAGAATTTTTTCATTTTATTTCGTTTTTAGTACTTCAATTGCATGTTCAAAATGCATTTTTCAACATAAGCTTCCTTTTCAAGGGCAAAAATTAAAAAGATTGGGCAAAAATAAAAAAGATTGGTCAAAAATTTGTTACTAGCTATACAATAAACAACAGCAATTGCATTTGATCATTTGACCTGTTGTTCAACTGTGTTCTATCTTGATGAACTTCTGCTGTCCTCTGAGAGACACTTGCCACACCCCTTTGATCTTGCCCTGCTGTCTGTAGTATTGCACGAGGGAGAAAAACATCACTCCTTACAGAACACAACTCAATATTAGTCGAAATATTCTTAAGCGATCACGTCAATGATGTCCATTTAAATGAATTATTTAAAATAATTTGTGACTTAGAATTATTTCGAATTATTTGAATGGAGAAACTACATCACAAAATTTTAAACCGACAATTGTTAATAAAAATATATATGCTTAAATGAAAAATAATTTAATTTGATAAAATGGTACGCAAATCTATGACTGAAAAGGCGACTTTTGTCTGACAGCGCATATTCAAAAAGTTCAAATTCAAAATTTTCGGAAAAACTTAAGGGAAGAAATAAATCAATCTAATTGTTTGTAGGCTTTTAAATTTGGTTCAGACAATTATTTTATTTTTGCTCCGACCACTGAAAGTGAAGAGGAACTTTGTAAACGGGTGTGTTACAATTTCTTCTTTGATTTGTTTCACTCAAAACCAGATAACACAAACAAATTATAAACTCAAGCCCTTTTTATCCCGATTTGATTGACATTTTAAAATTTGTATGGTTTTCTCAGTATCAAGAAAAACCGAAGTTCGGATTTTGCTCCATCTTTACACGAAAGCAAACGAGTAAAGCAAAAAATATTTATTAAACCAAAAACGATATTTCATAAGCTTCAAAAAAGCCGTTTTTGAAGCTTCAACCCTTCACTTAGCGTTTTCTCAAAGAAAATAATCTGTGAACAATTTTTCAAAATAGCTATCATTTTCGTTAAAAATTTTGCAGTAGTCAACCCAGGCTGCCAATACCTTAGAATTTTTTCCTAATTTTAGATTTTGTACCTAACCCTACAGAGCTGATGTTAAATTGAGTCAACTTCAGACAGAAAATAATGATAGACAAAATTTGGTTACTTATACCAAAATTATTATGGTGCAATTGATTTAGAGACATTCGAGCCCAATTTTTTTTTACCCCAAACCAATCATTTGAGGCGTTTTTAGTCAATGAAAAATTACACTAAAACTACCGGATCAATTGCTGACCAAATTATACCACTGTGATCCTCTTCTGTGACCCAACACATTTTGAAAAGGGTATAATCTCTAAAAATTTGAGAAGAGTTTTCCACAGAGGCGAAGCAGAGCTTCGCGTCACTTGCGATATAACACAAACATAAAAAACATAGGTCGAACGAAACAGAAAAAAAATTATAAAAACCTCTACTAAAATTTAAAATTTCGTATGTCTTAATAGAAGTTAAGAAAAACATAGATAAGAAAAAAAACGAAAAATTATTTTAAAAAAAACAAGGTCTACCAAAGTTTAAATTTTCGTATGTCTTCATAGAAGATTATTCTAGGCAAACATGCAAGTCATTTGCATATTAGGCTAGCAACGGAACAAAGCATACGAAGAGGAAACAAAGCCGAAAATCTTGTAGCAGACAAATTGAGCGTAAAAAAAATTTTATAAGAAAAAACCTTAAGTTTCAAGTGCCTCTTGAAACTAAAATAAACAGCACGTGCACTTGCAACCACAAGTAACTTTCGGCAGTACTGAAACTTCAGTACTACTTGCAGAGGATCCGGCTACACTTCTCAAGTTGATTTTTTTTAAATGGACATCGCCGGATTAAGCTAATATCTTCAAGTTAAAAGTGGATAAGGATAGATTTCAATTTGGTTTTAAGTTGGAACATTAATCCAATCAGAATTGAGCAATCAATGTGCAGTACTGAGTTATTTTTATTCAAACTCACTGCTTGTCTAGAGGATGATCTCTATTTGACTTTTCGAAAAACAGCAGGTACAAAATATCGACCAATCAGTTTCGTCTAAAAACGAGAAGTTCTAATTCTCGAAAAAGCGGTGAGACGACATATCGTAACAAGCGACAATTCGTAACAGTAGATTAAGCGAGGAACACTGATTCACACGAAGTATTCCTCTCGTGCCGGATATAAGCGCAGCGGAGCGAGCGCATGCTATTTGCCAATTCCTTCTTGTCAATTGTCGCTTTGGTTACGAATTGTCACCTGTTACTACTTGTCGCCCTGCCCAAAAAAAGTTTGTGCCAAAAAATTGAAGGCAAAGCCAAATAAGGACATTGTGAATTATAACAACCTCTCAGGTGAGAGATTTAATATCAGTTCGTATCTCGGTACTGGCATGGACGCTGCCATTAACCTAATTCGCAGAAAAGATATATGTTATTTTAAAATTGATTTGAACATGTAATAATACACATTATACGCCCCAGTCTAAGAGCATAAAATTATACCTCTACTACTCTGATTTCTGCACCGTCTGGCACGCATCACAATGACTGCGTCATATAATACTAACCTAAAGTCACAATCGAGGCTCCACACAGACCGGACCACCTGAAGTTTCCAGTCCCAGCCAGAGCATCCATGAAGAAGGCGAGAGGCACGACAGCACAGTTAATGACAGCATATCTGGCTGATGAGATGTAGTCCAGGCTGATTTTGAAGAGAGCAGAACCACTCATTGCAAGGACGGAGTAGACCATCATTACTACGAAGTCCTAAAGGCAAAAAAAACCAATGAAATACAAAAAAAATCGCTTAATGCAAAACAAATTGCTTATAAATGTACTTATGATCGCAGTATATAAACCAACCGTGTAATTATCATGCAATTATAAACACCAAGCGCTTTAAAGCGGATAAAACATAATCCACATAATCGCACGCCAATAAAATTGAGCATAAATCTTCAGCACAAAATTGCGCACTTTAGATTGGAAAAACCAAACTCGTATCATAACACCAAGCGTTTGCTAGTATATACAGCTTGATTGCCGATTTGAACTTCCCATAGCCGAATTAAATAGTATAGAGTATTAACTTGTCAAATTCGTAACTTGAAACTTTTACATCGCACATGTAATTATATATGAATTTTGCATTTTTGACCATTTTCACAATTTTTCAATCAATGACTCCAAATACTACTGTCTTAAACGTTACATGTTTCCCAGATCGATAAATATTAAAAATTTAAGAGACAAATACTAATGTTTCATCCGGTAGATGATTCCCAATTGGATTGAAAAAGCTCACTTTTTGAGTTCTGTTTTGGAGAGTGGCTGTGGTGCCGACCATGTTGAGGATGGTGAGACCGAACAGACCAAAGTGAAGTAAGTAGTCCGAGGCATCCGACTTGAAGTCCTTCGTGCCCCTGGCTAATGCATATCTAAAAGTATTCACAACTATTGACTAAAAAACAGATGAACAAAGATTAGTAGAGAAAACTAGGCACAAGCTAAAATTATGAACAAATTAAGCACTACAGCTTTCATAAACATTTACACAAAAGCGAAGTGGCACTTCGCATGTACAAGCAAAAATGGCAAATGCGAGCTTCCAAATAACAACCAAATGCTAAAAAAAAGTAAGTAAACTGAAAGATAAAAAAAATACCTATAATTTGAAGTTAACTAATTCAAAATTTCGACTAAGGTCAGCCCAAATTCAACTACTAATATACTGGCTGGTATTTACCAAAAAAAAACACTAATCTAGGAGACTTCGGTTAGAAAAAAATTTCGTATTATAACAAGCATTTGGTTGAGTAAATAATTGCTAAAATTGAAATCAATTCAAAATTTGCGGTTCGGTTCAGAACACTAGCCTTAAAATAACGAGGTGCAATATAAAAAACGATCACGAGCTTCAATATAGCAAACTTCCTTTAAAAACGAATTCAAAAAATCATTTCATTGCACAATACTTTCAAGATTTTTCTGAACAAGACTCACCTTAACAGCACCGGTTGGAATCCGGAAGAGAATACTGAACTGAGAGCCACTAGCCAGTTAAGCACAGTTGCATCTGCGTAGGCCGACATGCTACCTCCGAATATGATTGGTGGTTGGGTGAGGACCAACTCGCCTGCTATGACAATGGAGGCAGCCACTAGTTCTTAAACAAAAAAAAACTTGATGAATTTTTTGAAAAGCAAATTCCATCAAAAATTTGGCCCCTTTGCCGCCGAAAGAGCCACCTTTTGATTCTTTTTTGCGATGTCGACTTTTAACTGACTGACCCGAAATCGAAAAAATTTGAAAATCCCCATTCGAGAAAGCCCTACATCCGCCCCTGGTATGAAAAAAAAATTTAACGCCAAACAAAAATATTTCACACTGATTATGTGCAGTTCCTTTAAACTGATTAAATAGAATTTTTCAAAAATTTAAACTCTTTCCGGAATCAACAACGCGCTTTCGTTTCGAAACCCTATGCGTGGCTTTACTTTTTGGCTTGCGAGGAGAATGTAAAGTAGATGTAATTCAGTCAAATATGAATACTTTTTGACAAATCGATCAGAATGCAGGAAAATCGCCATTCTCAAAAACTAGAAATTTCTAAATTGCTCTGAACTGCTTGTTACATTGAACACACAGTATTGAAATTCAAGAAACAAATACTTCCTTGATTGGACGAAAATAAAAAATGAATTTACTCAAAGCGTCGAAATTCTTGAGTAGATACCAAGGGAGGAAGATAAATTAAAAAGTAGATCATAATCAGGCCCCGGATTTTAGTTAAGTAACAGAAAACATTTTAGATAACTAAATAGTTCCTTTAAACCCATCGAATTAGTTAAAGAAAACTTCACAAAATTTACTGCAGTAACAGCAAAAAAAAATTTTGAACTAATTTTCTGTTGAAAATGTAGCGAGTCTGAGAGAATACCCGGGTATTTCATTTGAAGTAATTTTTTGCCACATTTTCAAATTTTCAGCTTTGTAATTTACATGATCTAACCAACTCCTCCACCATGTGATCACAGGCCTTAGCGCAGATGCCAATGTTGGCGTTTAATTTCTGAAATAATGTCGATTTTCTGGAGAATTTCAACAGAAATAGTAAAAGTAAAGCGTATCTTTCTGATTAGTTCATTTCCTCCATTTTCTCAGAACTAGTTAGTTAACTACGCAAAATAGTTATTCAACTAAAATCCGAGGCCCTATTATATTTACTTCGAGCAGGAACTATAACACAGACAAGAGGCTGCGCTTTGCAAACACTTGCGAGAACACGACAAAAAGCAGCTCTATAAAGAGCAATAATAAAAACTAGACTAGAATGATCCTCGATTTAGCAAAAATTCGTCTACCTCTGAGATTCAAACCTGCGACCTAGAGATAACGAGTCTCACACATTAACCTCCACGCCACGTAAGCTTAAAAGTTACTATTAACCACTCTGTGACAAATAAAGCGGAGAACAGATGCTAAGCAATTTCCAATGCTACAGTGAAATTTCCAAATAAATGAACACTTTTAATTAACACTTTTATTTACGAGTTAGGTTAGAAAAAAAAGAAGTTTAGGTTAGGAAAAAAACACACTAAATGATCGCAAGCGTAATAATAGAATTGTTACTGACCTAGTGTTCCGAAGATCTCGTCGAATACGAGCATAGATGTGATGCCTGTGACTATGATTTTGAGTTTGTGGAAGGCGAACATGTCTGCAGGTGGGATATATTCTAACGAGTAGAGGTACGCCAAACTGAACACAACTCCTAAAAACCAGAGGAAAACTAACATCCGTTTATTAAATCAATTTTTAGGGTTGGTTACGTGAATTAAAGATTTAGTAAGTATCTGGGGAAATTAGATGACAAACTTTTTAGAAACAGGAACCGTAGACCATTAGGCTTGTAGATCGTTCTGGCATTAGTTCTAATTATTTAATCCGTTGGTTTCCAGAGCAATTTTTAAACGGTTCTGGCGTTGGTTCTCATTCTATATAACGTTGGTTCCCAGAGCTCACTTTTTAAAAACTGCTCTAGCGTTGGTTCTCTCTTTTTTAAAATGTTGGTTTCCAGAGCTCATCTAATTCTTTATTACCTTGCTCCACAGAGCTGTTTTTAAGGAGTTTTCGCCTATGTTTGCCCACAATTTTATGCCATAACCATGTCAGGCCTTTTCATTAATTGTAACGAATAGCTATCTGGTTAAATTTTTCATCTCAATTGTCAGTTACCAAAATCAGAGAGTAGCAAAAAATTAACTATTTATATGAAACTTGGTACTAACCTAGTAGGCCAGTTAGCACCGTTGCCATTAATGGTTTAGTATTCCCTTTTGAGAATATTGTGAAATTTCTGCTTCTAAACTTCACATAAAACACTGCTAATAGCTGCATCACACATCTCACGTATAAAAACTCCATAGGCGTAATTGATGAAAATTTTTTCGACACCATAGTCGCCAAAACAAATGCAAGTCCATCGCAAATGCAAATTAGATCCCCAATTGTCGTTTGCGAAGGCATTCTGATATTTTCCAACAGCAACTACACTTTCTACTAACACGTCTGGTCCCAATGAATTGGTTTAACAATACTGATTGCTTTAAATTGCTGAATTTTTCCGGTTGTTAGGGGATAATATTAGGTTATTTGACTCGCACACCGGAGGTCCAGGATCGATTCCCAGTGAAATGTATTTTATTATGGCAGCAAACAAAGAAGAAATTCTGAACTGAGATGTCGTATCAATTGGCAAGTAGGCCTAATAGAGGCGCTTGTTCTTGTGAAGTACACGAAATTAGCATGGCAAGGTCAAAAACGGTCAAAATTTCGATGTTACTTGTAGTTGAAAAAACATTGGTACCTGAAAGCACATTAATTTAACGAACTCAGTCAACTGAATTGCGTTGAAAGGCTACACAAGGTTTTATATAAAACCAGGAAACGATCGAGACTAAATCAATTTTTTTGAAAATCTAGCCTTTTTACCTACAGGCTATAATTTTTGCCATATTATTGCCGTACAAGTAATGAATTAATAATCTTTCGGAATTTGCAGTTGACTTGAAAAAATTCCGGGATAGTTGTATTGAGATTCGAACCAAAAACCTATCGCGATGAGCATGTTGTACATCAATAGCGGATCAACAAGTTTTTAATTTCCCGGGCACTAGGCACAACTTAGTGAGCAAACAATGCTTAGATATGCTTGAATAGTTATGCTGGGACAACAAATCACCTGTTTAGTCACTGGATTACTCTAACTTAAAAAATGTCACCAAGAAGCTGAAAAATTACTTGAAACAAAAAATAAACAGAAAAATGTACAGGATAAACAGAATTAACATTTTTACAAATAATCGAATAAATAAATTAATTTTATTGAATACAGAATTCGAAACTGCAGTAAGTTAATTTTGACTACAAACATGCAGAAAGTTGCGCTCTTTAGCTTCGAATTTCTCTATTTTTGCAGCTTTAACTTTTACACAAATAAATTCCGATATACAACAGCAGGGATCTCCTTAACTATCCCCTTATGGTACCTAGTAACGAAGGACCAGCCCATAATATAACTAAACCAACGGTTGGTTGAGCTTATACGGATTCTCTTCTCATGTTAACCCCAATTGCAATCGCAGGGGGTAGTTAAAAATATCCCAATAGCTATGAAAAAGATATTTAAATACTTTCTAATCGCAAACTTTCTGTTCTTGCCAATTTCAATTTCGTTGAGTCACTGCCCATAACGTTTTTAAGTACCATGTTCAGCATTTCGTCTCTGAAATTGTACCTCGATTTGAAATTTCGAAGCTCGCTCACCAACCCTGACCGATCCAAACATGTCCTAATTTCTTTTGAAAAACTTCCTTCATTTTCAGTCCCATCTGTCAGGTTTAAATCAAAGTTGGCTAATAGCAGACGGTTAGTTATTAATCTATTCAATAGTGAGTCCAACCACAATTTCCGATTTAATTTCTGTAATATTAAAGTTAAGCCCGTTTTTAAATATGTGGGCATTTCTCTTGATTGCAAGTTTTGATTTGTCAATCATATTGATTTTGATAAAATCAGACTCGGAAAACAATGTGGTATTATTCGAAATAAAGGCACTGTGTGCCAAGATATCAGCTATTAGATTACAATCAACTTAACATTGTTCCTATGTTACAGTATCGGATTCTGGTCTACAGATGTATCAGTTTCACTGTTCTGAACCCTGTATTCACAAAACAAAAGAAAAAATTTAGATTTTGTTTAGTAAACTAAAAGATCACTGCGAAGAAAAACTGCTGACTGTTTATGAGTATCTACAAACTTCTGAAATTTGTTCAAATTCTGTTAAAAAATTACCTTATGAGTGCTTTTTTTAGAAAAATGTTTGCTTTTCAAATTCGTAAGAAAATCTTAAGTCTTATTCTAATTGTTCGGACCATTGAAAAATGGGGAGGAATTTCGCATTAGGGTGTGTTTTACTTTTTCTTCCATGCAAAATCAGATACCACAAAAAATCATTGGAATGGGTCGAGTGATATATCATTTTATAGCCGTTCCGGTCGTGATTCGAACATTAAAAAAAAATTCTCAATGTCGAGGAAAACCGGTTTCAAATTTTTTTAATTTTGGTCTAATTTCGAGCTAATAAGGTGAGCATGCAGGCTTACAATAGCTTATTTATACTCAATTTAGGCCGTGAAAACTTATATTTACTCTAGTTTTTAACGCCGTTTAACGATTTTTTTGTTTGTAAAAAAACTGATTTCCAATTGGCCTATTTCACGATGACTGTTGAATATGCTAAAGTTCTATATTTTTGTTCAGATCTTTTTATCACACCATGCAGAAAAAAACACACTAATTTGAAAAAAAAATTAGTTATTATTTTTCAAGGCTAAGGTCGGGACAAAGTAACCGGCTATCCTTGTTTTATTTTACTATTTGTTCAATTTATACCTAATTTATACATTTTTAGGGGCATTCGCTAAGTGGATCTTTGTTTCATTGTCTTTCTTTTAATCAGTTTTTATCTTCGCAAAAGTTTGTTCTAAATAGATTAGGAGATTAAAACACCAATTCCAACCCTAAAAATATTAATTGATTCAGATTTGCTATTAAATGACATCAACTAATCTGACCGAAATTAACATTGAAACTTTTAGCCAGACTTAACCTTCCGCAGGATAAAAAGTTATGAATACTCTAGATAATGGTTTTACAATGAACAGGATCCAAACAATAATCTGGAAATCTTAAAACTATTGAAACGGCCGATATCATTCACAGCCAAATAATTCTTCGAAGCCAATATTTTAAATATTTAGATTCTGTTATTAATTTTAAGCCAACCCTGAAATGACGAATTCATTTTCGGATTAGACAAGAACTCTAATTCTATTAAATTAGAATTCGGTTCTTCGTCTAAACTGTTTCGATCAACTGACGTGAGCTGGACACTTTTTCCACTGCGTTTATAGAGCATTCTTAAAGCCACGGATGAATAAACACTTAAAAATGACCCCAGAAATATATGCCAGTAAACTCCGGTTGAAATCAGCTTGCTGATGAACCCTAGTAAACCCCAGGAACAGTAGCTAAAAGCCATAGTTCTAAAAGCTGATATATCACTGTATGCAATTAATGCACAAATAATTTGGAGAACATAAAAGGATGATGATATTATTGCGATGACAATTGAGAATAACGGTTGATTGACAAGTTGGATGATTTCTTTCGGATGACATAATAGCACAAGTAAGCCTCCATATAATCCGATACGAATCAAAACTTCGCCCATAAAGTGAAGAGGAATTTGTCTCCTTTCAGTTAGCCAACTAAAACAAAAATGGGTCAACTTGGTTGCGCCATTTAAACTTAGCTCTATGTGAACGACGTTTTTTTTACCTATTTAGGCAGCGGTTTGATTAAAATCATACGACAGAAATTATGATGTTCCCAAACGCTATTTGGATCCTTGTGGGAAAAGTAATAACCAGCTGCTGCAGTGAAACTTGCACGCGACTTTTTTTTTGATAATTAAAACGCTAGATTTTCTGAACTACCCAAAAACTTGATGATTTTGAAAACAGTTCCAGTTACCTCAAATAAATCGGCCATGTTCCACCGCATATTAAGAGAACAATTAAAAATGTCCACTCGTAATGACGGAATTTCCAGTAATCATAGGACTCCATTGAGCCATTTCTCGAAATCATCGGAGGCATGTAAAGGGTGAACATTCCAACTATCAGGCTGAACAATAATGAAACCTCTGAAGAGTTGCATTGCCAAACATGCTCACTAATTTAACAAGATTAATTAGACCAAGAGAACTATCTCCCCTAAATCAATTTAGGAGGAAAATTGTTCACTTGGTTAAAAGCTTTCTTTTTCAGCCAATCAGATTTGAGCATAGTACACGCAGGCCTCACGGCTTGAATTTGCTATTTAATTTTACGGGGTAGATTGTTTACTTGGTCTTCTAAGGGGGGCAATGTTAAAATGGGGGCAAAGCTTAAAATGATCAATTACAGCTCAATTAGGTCAAAAAAGTTGTAAATTATATTGGGAACAACTTCGCATCCCCTCTTTCTTTCGATCAGGAAAACGCTTAATAACATTCGAAAACCAACTTTTTTTTGGTAATAGAAAAAAGCAGAAAACATTTGATCAAAAAGATTAAACAGAGGCGAAGCTGAGCTTCGCACACATTGCGATACAAAAACATGGGAAAAACAAAACCAAAAGGCAGAAAAAGACTTAGATTAGATATTTAAAAAAAAACTTTGAAGAAACGACTAAGAACGGACATTCTGGAGATTCTATCAGCCAATTCAAATACCAGATAAAAAATTATTATCAAAATTGTCCTATAATGTTATGTTGTTTTATCAAAGTAGATCAAAAGCTGCAATATATAAGATGATAGCAAAACATTCACGGAAAACATGAAAAAATAGCAAAAAAAAACACAGAGGCGATGCGAAGCTTAGCATCAATTGCGATACAACGCAAACATAAAAACATAAGTAGAAAGAAATCAAAAACGTTTATCAATTTTAATTTTCGTATGTCTCGATAGAACTTCATTCCAGGAAGACGCCAGACACTTGAAAATAAAATTAGAAAAGGAAAAAACTAACGAAGTGGAAAAAATTGCGGTACGCATCTTTCACACATGCTTTTGCTTGGGACCCAACTGTCATACTTGTACCTCTCAGGTTATCAGCAGTGCTATGCTAATATATAATGTAGCTTTAACATGGCAAGAATTGTAGCACTCGAAAAAATCTCCAGATTGAAGATAGGTTGTATCAAAATGAGCATATTAGCATATTTGTTTCATTTAGGCTTGAACGCAGAAAAAATCAAACCACGTTTTCTCATTACTGAGACAATTTTTCAATTCGAATTCAAATCACAATTGAGATTTTTGAAAGAAAGCACACTTGCCCCTCTATGAGGTTTTAGGGGTGGTCAAACTTTGGAAAAACCAAACCTGGCACATAGCTCCTTCCCACTTCGCGAAGTGCCGGAAGAAAAAATTGGAAAGGGTAAAGGGAAGTTAATATATTTAAAAAAAAACTTGAAAACAGATAAAATTAACGCACCCAAGGGCTCCTAACCTCTTTCTCTTGAAGAAACAATGAACTGATTCACCAAGCACTGGTGAGTACTACTATGATTTGCACCAAGGAATGCTCTCTTATTTAAGTAAAATTGGTTCTTAAACTTGGATCTTTTTTCTGAAACCTGATCTATGAAAGCCTACTTAAAAAGATTTTTGATATTCTAAATTGCATTAAAACGTGTCAGCGTGAGCAAATTCATACAATATTTCTTGCATTAAAATTTCCATTTGAATAATTTATGACGAGCTTTAAGTCGTAATCTTACGAGGGGGTGGGAAACAGGAACAGAGACGTTTTGACTTTTCGAATAAACATTATGGGCTATCGAGTCGATCTTACCATAAGACAAAGGCACAAAAAATCGTCAACTACGACAGACATAACTGACCTACTGATTAGAAAAGATCAATCAAGAAATATTGCAAAAAACGGCCCAGGGAATTAAAATGTCAGATACTATTTGACAACGTCCAACATTGACTTTGGGTGCTCTGCATCATTGTTTAGTTTTATGTCATTTAGATTATGCGGCAATTGTTTTAGAGCAAATTACTGCAAGGTCAAATGATTTCGCTAGAAAAGCAGTTGAAATGGGCTTTGAGCAGCACATTTCTCAGATGAAAATTTATATCTTCTGTCGCATTACGGAAAAGTACAGAATTGAACTGAAATGTGCCACATATCTATATCAGTAGCTTTATAACAAAAGGAAAGCTTTTACAAATGCATTGAGGCTACCGACAGCGAATCGTAGGATAAATCAACGAACTAAGCGTATAATATCTGACGTCAAAAAATGGAATTCCTTGCCCGTTAAATTACGAAATTTTGAGATTACTACAACGTTCAAGAAAAAATTAAAAGAGTTCTATGCTATTGAAAGGGAATCTAATCCTATATTTACGCAAACAAAAACATGGCGTGAACTCCGTTTTCATTAGTTGATTTGCAATAGCATGTTTATTTAAACATGGTTTTAATAATTTTACGTTGCTTACAATTTTAAGGTGTAAAAATTTTTCTACTTTACCTTTTCACTCCTAAATTGATGATTCTATTGACTTAATAATTTCATCTCATTTTATTCAAATATATGAGTAACTAACCTGACTTAGTACCTAATATTAGCTTTACACTGTTACTATACTAATGCAACGACTATTGTGTATAGTAATTGAAGTGTTTCTTCTTCTACAAAATGGAGATGGAAAACTCGACTGGAACGCAATGACGAAAATGGGCTCAAAAAAATTGAACCAGCGAAAAAGAAGTATTTAATGGTCTTAATGTTTTTCATGGTAGAATTGTAATCTCCCCATTTTTTAATATATCGGAAATTTCTCGTATTATGGTTATTGAACTTCGATTTAATTCAATTAATGTACCATTAACATGTCACAAGCCTCCCTTCCTGCTGGAGATTAAACCAAACCAATTGTTCCATTTGCACTAATCATCTAAAAAGTGGTGGCGTATGGTGTTACGCTTGTGCGTCTTGCACGCCTTTGAAGCGTACCGGACTGACAACTAAAAACGAACACCCGAAACACTTTGCCTGCAAAACCGCACAGCGGAAGCGCAGCTAACTCAAACAGACCGCAAAAATTTACCAAACAAATTGTACAAAACAAAAAGACAGAACTGTCACAACTATGTAATTAACTATGTCCATGCATGATGGCGCTATAACCCCATTTACGAAATCTACCTCGCGCGAAAATCTGATACAAAGATGGTAGGCCAATGATGGCCATGCTACAGCTAGTAAAGATGATTTCAAATATTTTCTTGATGATTCAAAACAACACGGACGAGCCTTCGGTTACCATGTAACGAAGTTCCACTTGATAGTAAAATTTGATTTTTTAATCAAAGCAAAAGAAGTATTCAAAAAGTCAAAATTGTCGATTGACCCCGAGTCCGCGGATCTTTGATAGTCGATTATTGGTCATGAAAGCAAGTTTTGCAGGACAAAACCGCAAAGCACGTTAAGCTGCTTAAGAAATGGGCACAACATTAAAAATTTTCTCCTCAAAACGTTTACAAATTCGTTACCAATGCTGTACAAAAAAAATCATTGCTCGGACAACACCCACCAATTTTCCTCTTTTTGAAGACAGAGAAAATCTTAGCGAATGATCTCATACCAACTCTCATTAAAAATACATCGTATTTTGAGAAACTCCGCACGTTGTTCTCTCTTACTGTGAGAGATGGAGGTTCGAACCTGACATTACCAAAGATCAAACAAACGAATATGCTAGTTTCATTAAAATGTCCACTCTACTGGTGAAAATGAAGAAGTCACAGACACTGACCAGCAACAGGAATATATTGCCACCACTATTAAAAAAATGCGACAAAAACAAATCAAACCTAGTTCACGAAAGAAGTATTTTGTCGGAAATCGAGAACTACTCAAAAATTTTAGCATCAGAAACAGGTGCATCAAGCAGTCTCAACGCATTACCGCTGACGCGATAGAAATTCCGTTTAACAAAGGCAGAGTTCAGAGACAGAATTGCACTAAGATATGGATAGGAACCAAGTAACCTACCGCAGAAATGAACATGCAAAGAACTTTTTAACGTTAGACATGCTTTACATTGCCCAAAAGGTGGATATACTCACATAAAATATGAGATACGAAATATTTTTGCTGATTTAATGAACGAAGGGTGCTACGCTGTCAAACATGAGCCGCATCTTCAACCGCTAAAAGGCGAAGTCTTTATCAACAAATCTACTAGCATTGATGATGAAGCAAGACTATATATTAAAGACCATAAATTATGGGGATCTCGGTTCAGTAAAATCTACTTTGACGAGAAAGTTTTCAACCCACATGCCAACACATGCTCATAAAATATCGAAGAAGCTTACAAACAGCGTGAAAAGCTGAAATACTAGCAAGGAATTGTTGACGTCCAACATACTAGCTTTAGCCCTCTTAAGTTTACCAGTACAGAAGGGGTAGGACCATCGTCCTCGCGCGTTATTAGAAGACTCGCTGACAGAACTAGCCAGAAAAAGGACGAAAGCTATGCAGAAGTCATCACTTACATCCGCACGGAATTAAGCTTTGCTTTACAGTATTACGTAGCTCCGTGCTTTGCATACGCGGATCGCGTTCGCTCTGAAAAAAAGCTCCGCCAATTGATTCATCGCCAGTACCATTGTTGAGGAAGGGAGGCTTAATAGCAAAATAAACTTTTAATGAAAGTAAATTGCTTTGATTTATAAATTGTTTGAATTTGATGCATTTTTATACTGCTTATATTTTAATTAACTTGTTTTTTAAGCAAAATACCTATTATACCAGATGTTTTTCCTAGAAGACAGATAACGATCAGATCAAGTCTTTTCTGATAGGTACCTGCCAGATGTTATTAACACATAAATTATTTTAGAGAGCATCAAGTTGCCAGGCAATCATAACTATTGAATTGACAATGCAACCTCTTATTCCACTGTGATCTTTCAGGCATACACAAGCAAGAAGACAACACGCCAATAATCGCAACGAGACTGCAGAACTCCAGTCATCCGAAGGCATGATGTAAGCATATGTGACAGAACTCCATCTCTCAAAAGAGCCTAAAAATATTTTAAAATTACCAAAAATATATATCTACTTATGATTCATAATCACAAAAAGCCGCTAATCACATAAGGCAGCAAGAATTGCCATTTTTGCACTGTCATTGCCACGCGCTACTTTGATATCACGCCTGCAATACAGAAAACCAGCTGATGTACAGACGCCAAAATTCAGCCAAAGATACTGCGACGACGATAGCTTCCCTGGTTCTGAGTGAACGGGAACTTCTAGAAAACTAAATAAGGGCATTAAAAGAGAAGAAACATCAGCCAACCCATAATTAGCCGCCTTCATCTTACTCTGAAAACAATGGCTCTCTTTTGGTAACTAAATCAGCAGCATATTAGTAACGTAATGAACTTAACCTAAATTAGTTACAAAACAACACTGTAAAAATTAGCAGCTGTATCAAAACAGTATAGTGTACAAATTGGAAGAATTTACCTATACCCACACAGAGATCACAGATACACAACACAGAGAAAATCGAATCTCGTATAATGTGCAGCCATAAACTAACCTTAGAGGAGTATCTATACTTGCTGAGGAGCTCTATACTTTGTATAAGGGGGTGCAGATCGCTACGCAAAGCTCAATTTATCGACAACACCATAAGCGCTATTGTAGATGAAGGACGGCTAAGATAAATTAACATTACGACGATGCATTTAATGCTGATTTATGACTTCATTGCTGATATATTTGCATTTTATATCGCTGGTATGTCCCTATCCAGCTTGTGCACTTACCGTAACTAAACGGAAGGGCCCCTTTTGTAATTTAATTTTAACCTTAGAGGAGTTCCATAAACTCAACAAAAACGCGTTGTACAATCGCCCAAATACTACTAAGGACGGTTCGTAGAAAAAGCAGGCGTCAGTTAACTTAACTCTACTAGTTTCTCACCGTCTAGACCTAGCCAGTTAGTTTGCTGGTATGTTTAGGGCTAAGTAAAAAGTTACCATTTTTAGGCCATCAGTCAAACGACTTTTGATCAGCTTTGGTTTACATGCAAAAATAACCACATAGCTGGGTCTCGGATCCCATGACTACGTGATTACTATTAAAACACGGCTCGGAAACCATTACTTACTATGTTTTTAATGACAGCTATCTACTAAATCCTGTAACATTCGCCCGGAAGTACATATCGACGGAAAATAAAGCTAAGCTATAAAACGAGTGGCCAGCGTCCAAACAAAGCTCTAGAAGCCAGTTCTTTTGGTGGTCTTTCTAACATCGGGTCGACAAAAACGTTACTGCTTTCGGATTCGGTCAAAACACTCACATTAACTTAATGAAAAGGCGTCAATTGATCACGTGAACATTCATAGAGTCAAACATTTTCTAACTTATTCCACGTTAAGGGCATTATAGAGCTTGTAATGAATATGATGCTTCAGTTCGAAAAGATGAATGAACAAAATCGAAAAGGATAATTGTGCCAGTCGGTCATATTTGGAAGTTTGACCTTGAGAAGAGCAGAAAACACTTGATTTTGGAGTGAAATTTAATTTTTCAAAATTTCGAATGGAACATGTCATGCACGATTTTCTCGCGATAACTGAAATTCAGAAAAAGAAATGAAAACAATTTCAGAACAATTGCGGGAAAGTTGTCAGATAAAAACGAGTGTGAAATTGCAATTCGCAATTTCCATCATAGTGAACAAGAGTAGAGCTGTCCTATCTGAAATAGAAGACAGAGTGTTCCCGAGAGAACAATTATTCGAACTGGACCAGAGTGAACCTTCGACGGAAAGGGGGACAGCTTGAGTGTCCCAATGGTCCACATAAAACTGCAGTCTAGAGTAAAAACTTGTTCTTGTTGTTAAAACTGACTGACATTAAACTTATCTTAGTTACTTTATTGATTCTTGAGTTGTTTACCGACTTATTTACTTCCTGGTTCTTGAGCGTGCTACAATGTGAGTACTTAATTTAATTTCTAGAGTGTGTTTTATGATTGTTATGTTGAGGTAAGGCGAGTTTTAGGTTGATCCATCTGAAATGGATCAAAGTTCCACTGTCTAATAAAAAAGCAACTTAACGGATTGTTCCAACCCGGTTTTTAACGGCGTTCATGTATTTTGGGTATTTTGAGACCTAAGTATGGGGACGTTCTTAATTCTAGAGTGGGGGGATATTTTGGTAGTAGCCTTAAGCAGTAGCGGGTCGTAGTCTCATGTCACAAGCGAACCGAATTGGCTCCGACTGATTTGAGGTGGAAAAACACAAGAGATAGTGTCCCTGACTCCCGAGCCAATAGTTATAGGGCCTATTTTTCTTAAGCCTTATGTGTGACTGTAGTAGACGAATGTTACATAGTGTTTTTATGGCGCTCCTGGGTGTTTACGACATCAAGACTACGGAGTCGAACCCACTTGAGACAGCTTCGGGCTGAATGCCCATTCTAGAGTACCGGCGGTACGGTTCGACAGGAACCTGCAAACCTTCCGGTTGTAGCGTGATAGCTTTTTAAGAAAACTCGAGAAAATTTCCTGGTACGCTCTCCGAACGAGGCTTAGCTAACCGAGTAAAGGGGGGCAACTAGGGGGACAAAAACACGAGCAAAAAGACAAAAAGCAAAACAAAAACCAAAAAAGAATAGAAAAAGGAACAAAAACCATAAAACGAAAAAAGACAGTGACTTTGACACCAGATTAGTTGGATCAAACCTTTATATTAATTAAATAGTATACCCATACTGTTTTACAAGTTCGATCGTTTCGATCAACCTAGCAATTTAAACCAGTAAACTGAATAAAGTGCCCGAAGTGGGGCGTTGTCAAGGGTTTTCAGATAGCTTGGAACTTAGCTGGACCAATAGGAGACTTGACTGGAAGAGGTGACCAGCCGAGTGGGAAAGTGGTTCAGGGACACTTGAGCTGAACCAATAGGAGACTTGACTGGAAGAGGTGACCAGCCGAGTGGGAAAGTGGTTCAGGGACACTTGGCTGAACCAATAGGAGACTGGACTGGAACAGGTGACCAGTCGAGTGGGAAAGCAGCCAAGAAGGATTTGGCAATTCTCGAGTTCTCAAGTTGGGCAGAACGGGTATCGTTAGAATCCACATTACATTATAGGAGATAAGTGTAAAATTGGATAAGCGAAATCCCCCAGTTTTGAGGAACGTTTTTACTTGAGCAGGCCTGGAAACAGGTCTACGGTTTTCTCTTGAGAGGTTTAGCACCCGGCGCTTAAAGTAATTTTTAGGCTTAAGAAGGGGGGCTAGAAAGGGGGGAGGTTAGAAGGGGGACTGGTTAGGCTAGAGGTTGGCGGTTGTAAATTGCAAAAAGGGGGAAATTAGAGTAACTAATTAGTCGACATCGTTGACTTAGTTACATTAGAAATTAACACGCGTTGGTAATATTAGGTGGAGATCCAAAATCCAACTCGAGTTAAGGCTGGTACGCTGGTTGGTTTGGTAGGGGGGACCGGATATAGACAGCTTTTGTGATACCCCATAAGATCACTAGTGGGGGGAGGAAAACGCGTGGCAATTAGGTACCAGACATTTTTTTTAGACGAAAGGTAGACATTGGTCACCTTTAAATTTTAGGTGGGCTCATTTTTCTGTTTTTATTATTTTTCTTACTTAAAATTTTTGTTGCATTTTATTGAGGATTTGTGTTTGGTTTTATACGAACAGGTGATCACAAGATACCTGCGCACCTACATTGAAATAGAAACAACCAAAAAGAAGAGGGGGTCAGCATTTGGCTTTTAAGAGAGGGTTTTTGGGAAAATTTTACTAGAGCTTGAGTGGTGGTACAAGGTACGGTGGTTCAAGAAGACCCTACAACGAGGAAGACACTCCGTGACGAGTATTGGGACAAGACCGAAGAAGTCTTGGGACAGAGCAGTCTTGGGATAGTGGTCTTGGGACAGGGTCTTGGGACAGTGGTCTTGGGACAGGGTCTTGGGACAGTGGTCTTGGGACACGGTCTTGGGACAGTGGTCTTGGGACAGTGGTCTTGGGACAGGGTCTTGGGACAGGGTCTTGGGACAGTGGTCTTGGGACAGGGTCTTGGGACAGTGGTCTTGGGACAGTGGTCTTGGGACAGGGTCTTGGGACAGGGTCTTGGGACAGGGTCTTGGGACAGTGGTCTTGGGACAGGGTCTTGGGACAGGGGTCTTGGGACAGTGGTCTTGGGACAGGGTCTTGGGACAGTGGTCTTGGGACAGTCTTGGGACAGTGGTCTTGGGACACTAGTCTTGGGACACTAGTCTTGGGACACCAGCCTTGGGACACTGGTCTTGGGACACTACCCTTGGGACACTAGTCTTGGGACACTAGTCTTGGGACACCAGCCTTGGGACACTGGTCTTGGGACACTACCCTTGGGACACTAGTCTTGGGACAGTAGTCTTGGGACACTAGCCTTGGGACACTAGTCTTGGGACAGTAGTCTTGGGACACTGGTCTTGGGACACTACCCTTGGGACAGTAGTCTTGGGACACTAGCCTTGGGACACTAGCCTTGGGACAGTAGTCTTGGGACACTAGCCTTGGGACACTGCTCTTGGGACAGTAGTCTTGGGACACTAGTCTTGGAACAGTGGTCTTGGTACAAGGGTCTTAGGACACTAACGGAGAGTACTGTGATAGTGACGAATAGTCTTGGGACGGTATAGAAATTGAAGTCAAATTACAACAAGTGCGTTTTAAGACAGAATAAGACAAATCGAAATAGGTAGGGTTAAGACCAAATTAAGGAAAATTTTTCGGAGGTTTTAGAAAGAGAATTGGATAAGGTTTTTAACACGTTGTACAGAATTTGTTACCACAAAAAATATTTTTTTACCCTTAGAATAGAATCGTGTATATAATAAAATTGTAAATAGAAGCAGTTGTAAATAGAAATAATGAGGCGGAGTAGGGTACCGGTGCTCGAAAAAAGGTCAAGTGGATCAAACACGAAATATAATTCATCGCTGCGCGGAACGACATCAACGGGCCCAAAGATAACGAAGACGAACTTTTCAGTTAACATGGTCAGCACAAGGAGTACAGCGGAGAACAGGGCGAAAGAGGGCACGGAAGGGGAGCGAGTAGAACCCACCATCGAGATTGATCTAGAGACACCCGATCAAAGTGTGGATGAAACAAGGAAGATGGCGACAGAGTCAACTCCAATGCCCAATGCAGAGGAACCGAACCAGAAACCCATAGAGTTCTCACCGATAGATGACGCGGAAGATGCAATAGGCAACACCGAAGAAACGGTGAAAGAAGACTCTCAAGTAAAGAGGACATCTTTTACGGAAAAATTGGGAATAATGTTCGGAATAAAAACAAAAGAAAACGTGACTGAAGAACCAAAAGCAGAAAGAGCACGAACGTTTGGGACAGTGAGCACGAAGACCTCAGAAGCCAATCCAAGAGAGGAACAAGCTAAAGCAGAGGCTACGGCCGAAGAGAGACCGACAGCTG